ACGGGCCTGGTCTTTGTCTCCCCCGATGGCTCTAATACCACAGAACCGGACATAACAGTTGCCATTACGTGTTCACTCATGTTCTCGGCCACGACTGACTGAAACCAACTTCGCACACAGGTACACTCACTCTAGGCAGGTCTTACTCGTGGAAAACTAGATTGGCCCCAGGTTATCTCTTTCCTGTCTACTCTATCCCTTTAAGATTTCATCCTCCCTTGTATTTTGATGACCTAGGGTATGCCGATGGCTCCCTGAAGGACTACTCCGCCAGGCAGATATGTAGGTAGGTAGGTAGGTAGGTAGGTAGGTAGGTAGGAAGATAGGTAGGTGAGTAAGTAATCATCCATCCATCAGTTTCTTGGACACCTCTCTGTAGATGGCGTACATGGACCTTGAAATCATCATATCAAAAAAACAAAACAAAACCAAATCCTATTGTGTTATCCTCTCCTTAGAATCCATCCATGACTTCCTTTGGTCTCCAGGATCACCTAGAGAGGCCCCAGTGAGCCGAACATGCCCCAGCTCCTGCTTCCTTTTCCTTAGGGCTCATGTCTTGCCTCTCTCTACTCTGCACCTCTCTCTGGCCATGCCGAGTCCTGTGCAGTTCCTTGAATGAGCTTTGGTTTCACTCCTCCTTCAAGGATGCAAGACTTGGAGCAAAGTTCCTGCCAACTGCATGCAAATGGTTTATGAAGAATGGCTTGACCATTCTCTGGAGTCGTCTATACCCACCGATGATGGTGGTGATGGAGAGCGCAACGACACAGGCAGTGGGTGAGATTCTGCTCGGTGGGAGCAAAGGCAAAGTCAAGATGATGGGTAGAGAAGCACAGGATGGGGTAGCAGGAGCGGAGAGAGGAGTGCTCCCACACAACCAGCAGGGAGCTGGTGCCCACCTGTTTAACCATTCAGCAAATTAACCGTTCCTCCCCCACCCACAATGTGCCAGCCCTGTACACCCAGTCCCCAGCCTTTGGAACCCACAGCTATTGGGGGTGGGGGGATGGACAATAAAGAGAGGTCTCCCACCCCAGAGCTGCCCTTTGCACACCTTCGGGTGACACCATACACCATGGTGGCCGTGCACACTCCATGGGGATAAATGTTATGATGAGGTTATAAGTGGTTCTGGAAGCCTAGAGAAGGGACACAACCCAGCCGAGGATTGAGGAGGGGTCATGGAGGGCCTTGTTCAGAAGGTATCATATGGGGCTGAGTCTGGAAGGAGGCTCCTTGCCCTGGATTGGCCCAGGTCTGGACAGAACTGAGGCCCTAAGTGGCGACCGGAGGAAAGAGAGACAGGCCCACACCTGGACAGCTGACCAAGGGCAGCCGAGCTGGCTGCGTAGAGGCCTTTCCTGGCTTGCTGTGACCTCCTCTGAGGAAGCTGGGGCCAGAGTGGTTGGAAACCTGCCCAGCCCTGGAAATGCCTTCCCCTCCAAGGAGAAGCAGCAGAGGCAGGGTCTACTGCCCCCAGCTCTCCCCTGGTAGGGGGGCATTTGCCTGTCTCAGGCCTGTCCCACCAAAAAACAACGATGTGAATTCACCGAGGCCCTGAGGCCCCTTCACATCATTAACGTCAGTTAGGAAAAAACACCCACCGTGAATCTTGTGCGCTCAGGCTCTCCTCAGCTGCCCCCAGCTCCCAAAACTGCATGTGGACGAGTCCTCACCTTGGGCTCAAAACCAGGCAGGGGCTGGGGGCATCTGGGCCAGAGTTTGCAGATGCCAGTGTTGATACCACTAGGGAAACCTGATCCCAGTTTTCCCTTAAGGAGCCCCGGGTTTAGGAAGGTATAAATGGCAAAGCAGGGTGCTTCTGGAAGGAGAGCGGAAAGGAGGAAGAAAAAGCAGGAAGCAGAGAGCTGTCCTCTTGTCTCTAGCGCCTACTATGTGCCAGGTACCCTGCCAGGACTTATGTTCCTCATCCCACTCCATCCTCATACTAACCCCATGAGGTAGGGGTCTGGAGCCTCACTTTGCAGATGAGACAGAGGCTCAGACCTCAGCAGCCAGCTCCACTGGCGGAGGAACTAGAATTCCAACCCTCCCCAGCTGCCTCCACTCCCTGTGCCCCTTACTTATTACTAGGCCCCTCCAACTACGTAACAAGTCAGTCAGTGTCCATCTTTTCACCAATCAAGACATATATATATCTGCCAGTCAGACTTCGGACCAGCATGAAATTCACACTGTGACCACAACCAAATTGTCTGACTCCTGCCCCAGAACAAAACAAAACCGTGACTTTCACTTACCTTGTGTCCTTCCGTTAAGGATGACTGAAACATTTCATTGCCTCAACAAACATTTATGGCCGGTCTCTAAAGGGAAGTACTGTCAAAGATACTAAGGAATACAGTGCTGAGCAGAGCAGAGTTTCTCATGAACTCACAGTTTAGTGAGGGAGAGACATTAACCAAATGCTGACAAATGTGACATGTCTGTGAAGATATAAGGTACCATGAGAGAGTGTGACAGGGACCCTGACCCAACCTGAAGGTCAGAGAAAGCTTCCTTTAAGGGATGGCCATTGAGCTAAGAGTTAAGGAACCAATAGGAGCTGACTAGGTAAAGAGGCAAAGAAAGGGGAGAACATTCTAGAAAGTCTAGAGAGACCATCATGTGTAAAGACCCTGAGGAGGGTTCAGCATACTTAAGGTGCTAAACAGTTGTGGTATAACTAGGTCCAGAAATCACAGGCGAACTTGGTGTGGGGCCAAGGCACACATTAGGGATTTAGATTTTTCCATTAAGAGTAATGGGAAATCTTTGAAGGGTTTTAAGCAGGATGACAACATGATCAAATCTGCATTCAAAAGAAAACAAAACGGGTGTCTGGGTGGCTCAGTATGTTGTCCAACTTTTGATTTCCGCTCAGGTCATGATATCATAGTTTGTGAGTTCGAGCCCTATGTTGGGCTCTGCATTGACAGCTCAGAGGCTGTTTGGGATTCTCTCTCTCTCTGCCCTTCCCCCACATGAGCTCACTCTCTCTCCAAAACAAGTAAATAAACTTAAAAAAAAAAAAAACAAAAAAACAGTAACAACACTCTGGCTCCAATACGAGAAGGTCAAGAGTAGTGAGGGGAGAATTCACAGTGACCTTGACAAGGATGGTGGTGGTAGAGATGGAGAGAGGTACGGCGGTCGTAGAGAGGTGTAGGAGCAGAATCCCACAGGCTGCAGTGATAAGTTCAATAAGGAGAGTGAGGGAAGCAGAGACACCTGGATGAATGGGTTGGTGGGGCCACCTATTAGGTTCAGAATAGTAAATGAAGTTCAGTGGGAAAGACCATGAGCTCAGTTCTGGATGTGATACGTTGGAGATGCACGTTGGAGGACATGCCTGCAAAGGAAGGAAACAGAAAAGGAGTAGCAAACAGACTGGGGAAGGAAGCTTGGCATCAGGGAAGCCAAGAGAAGAAAGTGCTGCAGGAGAGAGTGGTCAGCTGTGTCCAGTGCACCTGAGAGATCAAGTAAGATTAGGGCTGCATCATGCCTATTGGGTTGACCAACATGAAGAAAATCAGTGACTTTATTGAGAATCCTTTCCACTGAGCAATGGCGGGCAGCCTCCAGGGGGGTGAAATGTGAACAGAAAGTGAGGTTATAGAGTCAGCAAATACAGACAAGTCTTCTGAGTTCGCTGTGAAAGAAGAGTGGCTGGAACAACTACTGCTCCAAGGAGGTAACAGAGTCAATGATGTTTTTTTGTCTTCTTCTTTTTTAAGATGGGGAAGACTTTTCTGTAAGTTTGATATATATATATATATATATAGGGACACCTTCCCAGCTTTCCCCCGTCCCTCAGACTTCATGAGACCCCAGTGGAACAGAATTAATCGATGGCAAACACCCAGACCTCCCAAACACCCAAACCCTCTCTGCTCAGTGCTACCAGCTCGTTAAGGGAAAGGAATTTTCCTTTGATTTTCCCATACCCCAGTCTCCCCTTCCCTCTTCCAAATCTCATTAGGAAGTCAAATTAGGAAGCCTCCACGCAGCCAAGTTTTGTTTTGCAGAAACAGCCCTGCCCCTCCTCACTGAGCCTGCCCGATTGAGGTTAATGGGATTCTATCCACCCTTGGGCCAGTGGAAAGCCGGGGTGACCTACTTTGTGAGGTCCTGCCCTGTGAAACTGACTTGCTTTTCAATGATCTTCATCTTTTTCCCCAGGACCACTTCTCAAAGGACAGCCATGAACAAAACAAATTAGCTGCTGACTTGTTTAGCTCAATAAATCAAGCTGTGGGTCTGTCAGCCCAGAGTGCAGGTAGAGACAGGAAAGACAGATTCTGAACAAAACCCACATCCTTCACCAGTTCCTCTGGCGCCTGAGTAGAAAATGACCAGGTTTCCTGCAAATCAGTTCTAAATTTCTACCACCCAGTTCCTCCAGGTTAATCTGAATGCTAGGAATTACTGGAACTTCTGCAAATAATCTTTATTCTTACAATGGATTTTATAAGGGACTGTAGTCTCTGTAATTATTTCCAGCCACTCTGTTTAATTCACATTTGATTAGACAGCTGTCCTTGTTTTTGAGACAGATGAAGGGAGGGTGGACTAGAGACAGTCACCCTCTCCAGCAATCCTGCCCCGCAAATCACCCAAGCCATGGCTCTCCCCATGAGGACAAAGGCATCTCTCTCTTTCTCAGATCAGGGCTGAAAGTTTCAGGGCCCTCCCTGTCTCCTGTAGCACTTGCCCAGGTCTGCCGATACCCTCAGGATTGTAAAGACTGGCGTTGGACTAGAGGAGCAGGCGGTAGATCTAATTGGCCAGAGGGACCCGGAGCCCTAGATGCCTCCAGGTTATAAGCAGTTTTTCCGAGGCAGAAACCTCAGACCTACCACGCAGGACTTCAGCCTAGTGCGTGGCTCTTGCGCCCTCTAGTGGTTATATTGAGTTTCTGCAACTTCGAAAGCTATGGGGGATTATTTGAAATACACGAGAGACAGAACTCGGCATATGAGTGACCTGAATCGCCGGTGACTAGAGTCTCACCAGTGACCTGAGTTACACTGGTTTGGATCTGAAATTTAGAAGGAGATAATAAGTTCTTAGGAGGAGCATAAAAATCCCTACTGCCTCTTTTCTTTTATGGTGTTCTTTGAAGTTTTGTTTGGAAAGGCTTAATGAGCAAGAAATCAACATTTACCAAGTCCTAGGATGTGCCGGTCACAATAACAATCAGTTTCCTCACGAAAAGCCCTTGGGTGGGTAAGATGATGCTCCCATTTTGCTGCCATAGTAGGTGCAAAGAGCCGGGGGGGGGGGGCAAAAAGCCCCTGGCACAGAGCTAGCAAGTGGCTGAACCCAGATGCAAATCCAGCTGCCTCTTCCAATATCTTTTGTTCTTCCCTGCGCACCATGCTGCCTCTCTGAATGTAAAAAGGTGAAGCATTTCTCCATGTCTTGATCTGGTCTTCCTTATTCATTTTTCTGGTGTGAATTGTCTGTTCATAACTTTCCTTTATCTGTCGAGATTGTGGTGTTTTGCTTACAGATTTGGATTAGCTCTGTATATACGACAGTTACATTTGTCAGTCACACTGCATGGAGATGTTTTTTCCAACATGCCATTTTTTTTCTCGCTAGTTCAACCATGTTGTTTCATTACACAGATGTCTTTAGTTGGTTCATAATTCAATTAGTTACTTTTGTTATTGCTTTATTGTTTCAAAGCAGAGGAAATTAACATTTCTCTAGCAAATCAGTAATCGACATGTCCCCTATAATCTGGTTGCTGTCTATTTAACTCTGGATTATTTATTTAGGTATGTGAGATTAAGTGCAAATTCCACATTTTTAAAAGAAAAACTGCAGTTAAATTGGCCCCACCCTGTTGGCACAATCTTTCCTTTTCCCCCTAATTTGAGAAGTCTGTTTTGTATAATACCATATCTAAAGTTTCTGGGATCTCCAATCTATGCCACTCATTTATATTTCTTTCTTGTCCTGAATAGGCTTCCATTTTAATTATCATGATTTATAATATACTGTTATCATGGTATGGCCAATCAACTCTCTTTGCTAGAAAACTGATGAAAAACTTAAATCCCAGAACAGAAAAATAAAACCAAATTCACAAAATATCCTATCTGGAAAGATATGGCATATAAGAAAGCATGAATGTGGATTTTTATTATGGTTTGGACAAATTAAAGAACTCCAGTCGTACCAAGCATTTCCCAAAGAAAACTCCCATATATTCTTATCCATTTCATTATTTTAAATAGCATTTTTATTATGGAAGTAATAAATACTTTGAGGTGATTTTTAAATTAAATTTGAAGGTCAAAGGAAGTATAAGAGCTCCATTCATTTCCTAGATTAAGTAATTTATTTAAAACAAATATTTGAGGAGAATCCACTTCATGCCAAGTTCTAAGTCGGGCTCTGAGATAGAGCTGTAAGCAAGACAAAAATGGTCTCTACTCTTCCGGAACCTAATGTGCAAGATAGAAATTCAACCAGAACCCCAAGGAAAGAGCGAGCTCATCCTGCTCTGGGAAAGTGCACCCGGGGTCCTAAACAATTTGAAGAGAGGTCAGGAAATGCTTCCTGCAGGATGCATTATGGGAGCTGGGGATCAGGGGACGAATTTCCCAGTCAAGGGTAAGAGAAAAGAGCAGAGCATAACTGAAGATGCTAGAAAATTGCTAAAATTGCCCCCAGGCCCGTACAGATTCAAGTTTGCCATATTACCCACCCTAAGGTCAGGCGTTTTGTGCAGGGATTGGTTGCCCCAAATTTCCTACTCCTTAAAACTCACCAGCGTCTGGAAGGATATGTCACTCAGGTTACAGATTTGGCCAAAGTGCATCGGTGGAGAACAATCTGCATCGTGTCTTACAAGACACGTGAGGTTCTCCGATGGTTAAGTCCAACAGCTGAGCAGAGTATCAGGATGGCCTGTTGGGTCAGGCTTGATTCGGTTTCCCCAGCACCGGACTCCTGAGCAAAGATGTCTTTGCCCCTTAGGTTGTCACTATGAATAGTGTCACCCATAGTTTACAGGATACAAATGACAATTCTGACAAAGCAAGCCACGTGCTCAGGGAGATGGGAAGGTAACAGGTGGAGTGGTTGGTTTCTATGGCAATGGAAGATGAAGTATGCCCCCCAAGGCCTTGCTGGACCCCCAAGGGGCCAAGAGCGAAGGAGGGCTGGGGCGAAAGCAGTCCCCTCAGATGTCCATGCTGTGTGGTTTGCACCGACAGGAAGGCAGGCCCCGGACCATACACTGTGAGTCCCTAGTGAGCAAGGCTGCAGTTCTTGTAGAAGCCAGGTCTTTAAAGAAGCTGCTAAAAGCTAAAGCCACTCACCTACATGCCAGTAAACGCACACCTGGGAAAAGATGAAATCCCCCAGTTTGTGCCTACATAGTGGACTAGGTGTGTGGGGGATGTTAGCGGTTTATAAAGGCTTCCTCAAAAAGCATCGTGGGAGCCTCACAGAAACCCTGCAGGTAGGTGGTGTCAGATGAAGAACCTGGGACTGGAGGACAGTGAGTGACTTACTGCCAAGACCTAGAGCTGGGGGTAGAAGAGCCCAAGTCCTCACACACTGCCTTGTTCAGCCCGCCCGCTGGGCACCTCGGTCCTGGGATGAAGCTTAGGGTTCCTGCCCTCAAGGAGCTCCCAATCTAGAGGGGGAAGACCGAATGATGACAGGGTGATGTCGATCATAGGGCACAGCTTCAGACAGTATGGAGAGACACCACCGGCACTGGCCTCAGTCAGGGAGATCCCAAAAGGCTCCAGGATGAGGTGACTCATGACCTGAAGCTTGAAAGAGGAGTAGACCAACACTCGTCAAACTCGAGGTGCATCCGGAGCACCTCGAGGGGTCGTTAAACTACAATGCTGGGTCCTACCCCCAGAGTCTCTGATTAAGTAAATCTGGGGTGGGGCTCAAGACTCCACATTTCTAACAAGTTACCAGGGGACCGCACGGTGCAAACCACTGCAGAAGAGCTTTCCCAGCAGACGGAAGTGCACATGGGACCTGCAACTAGGCTGGTCTGGCCGGGGCACAGGGCGGCGGATGGGGTGGGCGGCAGGAGGCTGGAGAGGAGGGCGACACAGGGCCTTGCTGGGCTGCTGACACCCAAGCCAGGGCTCAGACCAGGCTCTTCCCCCACTCCTGTAACAGAACATAGACTGGCATCAGGCTATAATGGGTAGTCCATTCAGGAAGGCCTCTCTCCACTTCCCCCCTCTCTTTTCTGATCTCTTTACGACCCTACCCTGCTTCTCTCAAGTGCCAGCCGCTGGACTAAGCACCGTATGCAAGTGCTCTCATTAAACACAGTAACCCTTTGGAGTAGACATATGGAGATCCCCATGTTACAGACGGGGACGCTGAGGCACAGAATGCTTTGGTAATTTGCCCCCAGGACCCGCAGCTCAAAGAGGTGACGCCAGACACACACCCAGGCTTCCGTTCCTCTCTGTGCGTGGCTTGACCCCATCTAGCCTGCCAGAGCCCAACGGGTCCAGTTCCACGAGGCCTAACCAGGTCTGGAGCCATTACTTTTGGGGACAGGTGAGGGGAGCCAGAAGCAGCTGGCCTCCACAGAGGGACACGGGGACTCCCCAGCAGCTGAGGTGCACCAGCTGCCAGCTGAACCGAACAGACACGTTGGTCCCCAGCCAAGGATTCCCCACAATTAGCAGCCTGGGGGTGTAGAGTCAGGCAGAGCTGCCTTTAAACCTCAGCCCCTACCAGCTGTGTCTCTTTAAAGGTCCATTAACCTTTATACCTTTCCACGCTTGCTTTCTTCTCTACAAAATGGGACAACTCGAACCCCACGGGATTGTCACGGGGGTGGGGAAATAAAATGACCCGGGTCTGCCACCCGGTGTGTGCTGAGTGCATCTAACTCTTCCTTCCCCAGCTCCCCAACCCCCGCCCCAGGGGGCCACCACCATTGTCCTCGCCCAGCCCTGGCCACGGCTGAGACCTCTTCTTAGCCACTTGAGGAGACAGAGGTTGAAGAATAATAGCCTCTTGTGGCTTGGGGGTTGACAGACAACCCATCTCCCCGGCTATATAGCCAGGCCCTTGCTCACCAACCGGAGGATGTGGCCACGGGCGAGTTCTGGTACCGGGGCAGGGCTGTGCTGTCAGCAGCCCCATGAGGACAACAGAGGCAGCAAGCTGGGGAGACGCTCCCCCACCTGTGACGGCACAATGTTGATCGCAGAGTGAAAACGGGGCAGGGAGAAGGAATTTGAAATTGATGATGAGAAGAGCGCTGATTCGAACTAATATTGCCTTGGGTCGTGGTCTTGTCTGCCATTTTTAACCTGGTGATTTTGGACAAGTTGCATAACATAAGCCCGTGAGCCTCAGTTTCCTCATGCATAAATTGGAATCAGTCATTCTTCCCTCAGGTCTGTTCTGAGGATTGAGTGAGGATGTCCAAAAAAAGAAAGAAAGAAAGGCTTGGGGCATTGGTAAGCACTGATTTGTAAAGTCCGTCCCAACACAGCTAGGCACACAATGGAACCGGTAAGCAAAGGGTTAATGGAACTGCCCTCAGCTGCAACTTTTCAGCCAAACGTCTTTCATTTGCCTTTAAACAGCCCTGATTCTGCTCCTGGGAGGAGGTGGGGCTGAGTTTTATCCTGTCTCCTCCTTTTGCTGCCTGTGGAGGAGCTTGCTGGGGACTTCATGTCTCTCAGTGATGGTCTTTGCTGAGTATCGGGCAGGCGAACTTGGGTTTGGCTACAGATTTGGTGAGCCAGGCAGGAGCTCTGCGCCCGTGGTTTGTCGGCCCCGAGCTGCTAACAGGATTCTGGTGACTGGTCCAAGCAGTTGCCTAGGCTCTTTGTCGAGGGGCCCGACCTCAAGACCCCACTCCGACTGGGCACCATCGGCCTTTGGCACCTAAATTAACCTGCACCAAGAAAATGGCTTTGGGTTTGGTTTAGACAGCGGTCTCTTGGTGAGTACTGCATACTCCATGGCATGGGAGCCTGCTTATTTCTT